GTACTTTTATTTTATATAGTGGTGTACTGAGTTCAGTTTTCCTCGTGTAACCCAAAGTTTAAAAGGGGTGTCCATACTTTTTTTCCAACCCTGTATACAGCCCGAGGAACAAGCCCAGTGGCATTGTATTTGTTGTTGAAAGTATTCTAAAATAATGTATTCACCACACAATTTGAGAGCCACATTGTCACCGTTTCTTATGCAGTATCTTCGAGGACTGCAACATAAAATATAAATTCCTTTAAGTTTTGGATTGGCTATCCTCCTTCCGGAGAGTTTCAACGAAGCATTTAGACATAACTCGGCTAAAACCTCTTTGGTAGGATTGTGATGTAATAAAATAAACCCGATTTACTAAAATTTCTTAAGTGATTAATAGTGACAATAATAAGGTCTTAGGATTGAAATGGATCTTGGATTTTAATGTAATGATTGAGAACAATTCTACCTATTACGATATCCTGCATCTTTATTATAACTTTGGAAACCTATCTGTGAATAAAGGGGTTCACGGAATATCACTAGATAAAGTTTATGGTAAAACAACTAAGCTATTACCGTAGGTCTCATGGTAAGACTTAGTCCCGGGACCGATTTACTTTTTCATTTTGATGTTCCTAGAAGCCAAAAACACCATCCGTTCAAATTCATATATATATTTATTTATTTTTATTTTTAACCCAATATAAGCTGTAAAAAAGAATATAAAAAAAGGGTACTCATGTTATTTTACATATTATTTATTAATATATTTATATATATATATGTGTCCGTCAGCACAATAACTCGAGCAAAAATGATCCGATTTCGATGAAATTTGGTACAAACGTGTAAACCTACGTTTAGTCGAACGAGTTCGCGAGCCAGCAAGATTCTATTGATGAGTTTTTAGATTACATAAACAATTGGTGCAAACCAATTTTAAAAAGAAAAAAGGAAAAACAAATTAAGAAGATTCAAAATTTGATGTCAAAACAAAATTCTGTAACAGCGAATACCACCAATGAAGATGATAGCACATTTAAACCAACCATGGAAAACCTTACAAATATAACATTTACAAAAGAAGAAACTGAAATGTTATGCAAATCAATCAAATACAATGTAAATTTAGACCATAAACCAAAAGTAATAGAAGATCAACTATTTGATTTTGAAGCTGAAATACAGAAGAAAACCGCTGACCATCAGGAAGCTATAAGACATAATTTTATTCATGAATATGAAAAAACCCAATCCCATGCTAAACAAACAAAAGCAATCAACAAATCAAAGAAAGATTTTAACACAATAAAAAATATAGCCAATAAATTAGAACAAAATCAAGCTATGATAGCTAAAGCAGACAAAAGCAATACTACAATAGTCTTAAAAATTGAAGACTACAATGACAAAGTACAAGACTTTTTAAACAATAATTCTTTTTCAAAACTCAAAAATGATCCTACTCAAGAATATAATAAACAAACCAACAAAATCATAACAAAAAGTAAAATAATTACTCCAGAAGAAAAATTAAAAATGAAAATGATAAAACCCAAAGCACCACAACTAAAAGGTAGAATGAAAACGCATAAATTAAACATACCAATACGACCTGTGGTTAATTACCGTAATGCACCATGCTATAAACTTGCAAAATTTCTAAATTACAAACTAAAGAGCTACATGACATTTGGAAATAACTATAGTTTATTGAACAACTATGAGTTGATAAACAAAATCAAAGATGTACAAATTCCTAATAACTCTGTATTCATCTCATTTGACATTACAAACATGTACTCGAATGTACCAATTAAAGAAACCCTTCAAATTATATCACAAAACCTATCAAAAAACAACGAACTAACAGATGGTAATATCAAAGATTTAATTGCACTCACCAAAACAACGGTAGAACAAAATTATTTTGAATTTAATTCGATGTATTATAAACAAAATGAAGGGTTAGCAATGGGTTCACCACTATCTGGTTTATTAGCCAACATTTACATGCAGCATATAGAAAACGAAAAAATCATTAACAATGTCAACCCAATGCTGAAGGATATCATATATTGGTACAGGTATGTTGATGACATCATATGCTTATTTAACATTGACAACCATACACCAAATCAACTATTGGAATACTTGAACACGATTTCAAAATCAATTAAATTCACATTAGAAGTTCAAAATTCATCTATCAATTTCTTAGATTTGACTATAACCAAAGAAAACAATTTACATAAATTTAAAATTTTTAGAAAGCCTACTGAAAACAATCTCATCATCCCAGCAAATTCAAATCATCCCTGGCAACACAAAATGGCAACATTCCATTCGTATATTGATAGACTTATCAACATTCCCATGAGTAACGAAGACTTTATTGAAGAAAAGGAACATATCACAAAATTAGCAAAGAGTCATGGATACAGCAGCAAAACCGTAGAAAAAATGATAAAGAAAAAAGCAGGCATGAAAAACCAACATGTCAAGAAAGAAGAAAGAAAACATGAATTTTTATGCCTACCTTACTCAACTACATTTAACAAAGCATATAGGAAAACATTTAACAACCAAAATTATAAGTTATCATACAGAACAAGAAACAATTCATTTGATTTAATTAACAAATTTTCACAGTCAAACAACAACGTATCAGACATAAAAGACAAATCAGGCATATACAAATTAAACTGCAGTTCCTGCTCAAAATTCTATATTGGCCAAACAGGACGAAATTTTCAAAGTAGATACAAAGAACATATTCAAGCAATTAAATCAAACAACAGAACTACACAAAAATCTACATTTGCAGAACACATACTTTCTACAGACCATACATACAAAAATTATAACGAAAACATTACCATACTAGACATTATTAACAAAGGAACCAAAATGAACATAAAAGAAAATTTTCACATATATAAACACTACAAAGAAGACAGAAACAACATTTTAAATATAGTACACACACAAACCACTAATCTTATATTTAACAAAATTATAAGTGTTAGAAAAACCAACAACTAAACATTCATTCACATAGGTACTAACAAAATTAACAGCTGTATTTATTCATAACATAATATTTTTGTTTGAAATTAGGTTAACACACTTGAAAATGTCCTTAGAGACGAAACATGTTGTGATTTATTAAATAAAAAAGAATATAAAAAAAGGTAATCATGTTATTTTACATATTATTTATTAATATATTTATATATATATATATATGTGTCCGTCAGCACAATAACTCGAGCAAAAATGATCCGATTTCGATGAAATTTGGTACAAACGTGTAAACCTACGTTTAGTCGAACGAGTTCGCGAGCCAGCATGATCGGACCATGGGAACGGGGTTATATGGGGGGATTTATGGGGTAAAAATTGGTTTTTCTCATTTTTGACCCTCAAAACATAAAATTTCCCAAATTTCTTCTAGACCATTTTGAAGAGCTTAAAAAAACAAATAATTCAGTATATTGAAGTGTTTTTGTATGGTTATTGGTTACGGAGAAAATTATAAATTAAAAATTCCAATGTTATTCTTATGGAGAATAAGTAAACTTTTGTAGTTTGCTTGTTTATGCATATATTTGGATCAAACTTGGCCAATCGATTTATTTTTTACTAAGCTGTTAATATTTTACTGAAAACACACTTTATTACCCTGTAGGCAGCAAACCTAGGTACTCGTTAAACCTAATGTTATTTGAATAGATTTAATTGAAAATCAAATCAGGCAAATGGAAATTCGCTTAGTCTGCAGGTTTGCTGCGTCGGGGGTATTTTGTATTTATTTAATATTTTTGTTGTTGTTAAAACAAAGACAAATACCTCAATTTTGTATAAGCATTATTTACAAGTGAATACATAGCGTACGTTTTTTGCACAGAATAAATATTCTTATAGATATAAGCTTGAGTGTAAATAGTTATTTAATAGCCCGACCAAAGTCATATAATTACTATACATTGTAAATGAAAATTTAAATTGGAAAGAGTGTATGAAAATATAAAATATTGAGCCTCAAGAATATATAAAGATCACAATACCAATATACAAAAAACTACTTGGTGCTTTATTTACGATGAGTTCAAAGGATCTTACAATGCTTTAACGTTTGGCTTAAACACACTGCATGATATTAAAAGTTAAAAGATTTTCCAGTAGCATAGACGTAGAGTAAGGACTATGCAGCATAGGATTTACCCGGTCGGAAAGGATTTGGAGCGCAAACTGGCTTTATTCCAGGCACTGTTTACTGCTTCCTGCTAAAGTTTTTACAGTCTCAGCTTTTAAAATATCCATGCATATATGACGTGGTTTTAAATTGTAGCGAAGATGTGCGGTTTGCCTCTTTCTATGGTTGGAAATGTTACATCTGTCCACATAGTTCTGACACTGTAATATATAAGTAACAAAAGCGGGGTTTTTTTTTAAAGAACACTCTTTTGGAATATTTATCAAAAGTACAATCTTACTTTTACATTGCTCTATGGTCTCATCTAAGAAGGACGTTTAGAATTTTAAGGTAACTTGACAACTTTAAAAAGAAATGTTATCATATCATTGTAAATGTAAAAGTAAAGTAACAAAGGATATGGAATCTGAAGGTCTGTTAAAAAAAAATTAAAATTAAAATTAGTTATACTTTGTTACATCTAAGATACATTGAAGTGCACTGAAATTAACGTAATTACAGAGAAATGTTTTCCGATATGATTGTTTACCCCATCAGGGTCAGTAGTAGTCTTACGCAAAATACTTGTCAATGGTTTATTTGCAACAAATATAGTTTCATTTAATACTTTTAGAGATAAGTATAATCACCTATTTGATGCGACATTAAAAACTATTTTACTTATTTCTTACTTATACTGTAGAATATTTTAATTTAATATTTATGTTTATCGAGGAAGTATGTTAAATGGTCATCATTATGTAATAGTGTAATATTAAATATTTTATTTACTGTATTGTAAGCTAGTGTTTTGTTACAGAAATTCCAAAGTTCACTGAAGGTATATCCAACATGACCATCCCTGTTGGAAGAGAAGCTGTCCTAACCTGCGTTGTTGAGGACCTTTTAAATTATAAGGTAACTAGACTACAACTAATACTAACTGAACTAATTTTAGGCCAGACAACACGTTAGACTGACTGGTAGATTAGAACAGTTTGTCATGAGTCTGGATGATAGGTTTCAATGGTCACAACAAATTCTCAAATCTAGGCTTTGGTCATCACCATAAGGCCTAGATTTGACCGCTTGTACTAAGGTTCAAGAGGGGTAGAATGTAAACTGAAATCTAGAAGAATTGCTTTATTGATTGGTTGACATTTGCATCAGAATATACAAATAAAAGTTGTAAAAATTTTATACGATCATACTGGGAACGTTGTTTTTGTAGTTTAAGTGACCACAGCTGCACTTAGGAAAATGGAGCATATATTTAAAACATAATTTCAGCTATTTTAAAATCATTAATGATGGATTTCGTCAAATGTGTAAGAACAACGGATGGTACTAGCAGCAACACATGTTACAAAAACCTATACGTCTCTTAGATTCATCAGCTAGATATCTTGAGAACCATATTTCTCATGTTTAATGCAAAAAGTTAACAGGAAAACTTTGTGCAATAACCTTTACATTCAGTCAACGAAGACAACAGCAGAGCAAAAAGGGGAAATGTCTTTAATCGATAATTTGAGAAAACAGCGATTAACTGTTTTGAAACGCTCCCAAAATAAATACTTTACAGTCCCAGTACGATGGACATTCCTCCTTTTTACCCAGTATGTATAATTAAAATCGTTATAATTTTTGACATAATACTTTCTCTTTCAGATCAGTTTACAGGACATTGGAGCTTAATTTCCCGTCGCTATAAAAAACTATTTTAGACATTCCCCCTTCTTCACTTGGTGTCTTCGTACTCATCCTCCATGAAGACTATACATATTAAAAGGTTACTCTAAACCTATTGGGAAAATAGTTCTTAAAAAAAAATATGTGATGCATCATGTTGAGTATGCACTTATAGAGTTTGTTTGGACATGAATATTAAGTTTTACTCTTAGATAAAATGTTTAATTTTAAATAAAGGCAAACAAACAATATTTCAGTGCTCAGGTTCAATGTTTTGGCTACAAATCAATGATACAACAGCTGTCTGGGACTGCAACTGAGTTGTTTGTCAGGTCAACATAACCAACAACTTTCAGCAAATATGAGTTCAACTCTCTTTGTTTTCATTGTTATCTTTTCTATCAGTTTTCTAAAATACATAATGTTTTCAATATATGAGAAGTCAGCGTATGGTTTATGAAACTGTTATAAGGATCTCATTCATGTCAATATTAATTTAATCGTTATATCTAATCAATTCAGTGAGTTATAGAAAAATCAATAATTAAATTTTCACGAATAAGTTAATTTTAAAAACTAATTGTACTCAATACACAAATACAATGCATACAATTTGAAAGAAAATTATAACGATCGTTTAACCTTTATACTTTTTCTTTGATTGGTAGAATGACAACCTAAATGTTTAGTTTAGATTTTTTTCACCAATTCTTTTTTTTTGTATTCCAATAATTAATAATTTAAGGAAAGTCAGTGGGTTGAGTTTATCGTTGTTAATGTTACTCCAAAATCTTTAACACTAAATATAATATATGATCAATAAAATTAACTAATCCACCAACTGAATACAAACATTATTTGGATGTATCTAGTACATCATGGGATAAATAAATGTGCATAACAACGAACTGTTACCCGCCTTGAACAAGTATATACAGACCTCTACTGTTGGTAATATATTCAGCATGGTATTCATTGTTGCGGTACCATATCACGCAACATTCCGTTTCGAAATCGATATTCGTGTATTTACGTTTTTCTTGTATATATTTCTCTGCAAGAAAAATCCTAGAAACATTTTGCAACAGTTGGTGACTGAGGAATTCGTTACCAATAAGGCGTATTATGTGTATTCTTCTCATTTTAATTAGTGCAATGCACTTAAAACTTGTTTATATGATAGTATTACAAATAAAACACCAAACAACACCGAGTTTGTATCTTGTGTATCAGAAGTTTAATAATCTCATTTCATTACTATCTATATACCCCGTACACACACTTAATACAGTTAGGTGTTTCTCTGTATTATCTTTTTTCTCATTAATAATTCATTGGCTTATTGATAATTCAACGTATTTACGGGTGTTCTAATCCACATGATGACAGCAGCCCAATCAAATAGTATTACAGGAGCAGTAAGTCAGGATGATAGCCAATTAGACTATAGGTTCCCATTCATCCTACAGTTGATGAGCCTAACACTGTCTAATTGTACGATGGTACTGTCCAATGCAGATTGAATCATGAGCTTAGGAATTAAGATACACTAAAAGGTAACATGGTACTATATCAAAATGTGACTCTATAGTTTTAAGCCAATTTGAATTTATCTTAAGAAATGCTAGTCTGTGGTAGTCATTAGAGGCACAGATTTTGCTAATTTAGTAATGACCCTTGTTCTAATTGAACATTCTATGTTTAATAGATCAAACTAGATATTCTATTTTCATTAAATTAAAAGTGTGGTCTTTTTCGAACCGTCATGACCGTAGTTAAATTATGCCACATTAAGATTGTGCTGACATAAATTGTAGATTTTTTTATACGCTAAATTGTTTACGAAGTCAAACTGACGGAACTGATCGCACAACTTATTGTAGCCATGGTATATTTCATGTCTTATCAACTATAGGCTATTAGTATCAAATAACTAATAACATTTAAAAAAAAATGCAGATTCTAGTGCAATGTGTGAGTGGCCCTAGATCGACCCTTTTATTCGAAAATAACATTCGAAGATAAATATTCTAAAGCTCATCAATGCAGATAGCATATCTACTTTAGTTCAATTCTGACGGCTTGATCTATTGCTTTCAGGGCATTGATTTGGATACCGTAGGTAGTGTTGTGCTTCGAAGTAGTTTTATATCTACGGTGTTGTGACTTGTCATTATAATCTGTCAGTCTGCCCCGCAGGTGGCTTGGTTGAGAGTAGATACCCAGACTATACTGACTATCCATGGACACGTGATCACCAAGAATCACCGGATAGCAGTGACTCACAGTGATCACAGAACGTGGTATCTTCACATCAAAGACGTGCGGCAGACTGACAAAGGATGGTACATGTGCCAGATCAACACGGACCCTATGAAGAGTCAAGTTGGATATTTAGATGTTGTTGGTGAGTAGTATGTAAACACATCTCCATATAGCACCTCTCTATTGTAATTGTGCATATTTAATTATGACCGTTTTTCAAACTAGATGTTAGTTCAGTTCTTAGAATTGAAAAGATTCACTTAACAGCATTTTTTACTTACTTAACAGCCTTGTATTACTTAACAACACGAGTAACGGAACAATGAGGTTCAAGGATTGAGAGAAGTTATGTAAAATTGTAACGCTTCGAACTTCAACCAATCAGCTGTTGAGACCAATTTAATGGTTAACGGGTGGTGCAATCAGTGTTTTGTACAATGATTTGTTGTATCACCGTCAGTGGAAAAGAGAGGTTAAAACGAAAACATAACCTTTTTTAGAAGCTATGTATGAGTAGTGAGTGTTAGTAATAAAATAACTAACTGTTGTATTGAAGTAAAGTATGTAATTTATGTAAAGTACCATGTAAAGTAGGGAAGTAAAGTAAACTCGCGTATATAGTGTTAACGACACTCGCAGAAGTTTTCAAACTTCTACGCGATTCTTTACGCGATCGTTGCGTTAACTACTACTTTGACATCATGATATGTGGATAGCTGGTGTTGCGGCTCGGATGTCACCCGTCGCGGACGATGAACTCACATGTGTCCGTCATTGTTTTGTAGATACCGATCAGTAAATGTGTGTTTATTTGTACTCATGTTTGTGTCATGTAATCTATATGAGGCGTTTAACTGAATATCTTCCAATGGACTGGATTAATTTCGCACTTAAGCCTGATGGTAACACGAGTTGAAACCAAGTCCGCAGAAAACAAACGTTATTTGAACTAGACTACTGAAGGAATTTAAACCATCATTTAGTGTATTATTAGGTGATTCTTAAACTTGTAAATACTACTGTTATAAAAATTTTCTTAAAATTAATAGCTTAATCTACTTATTTTATAGAAGTGGACTTTTCGTCCATATAGAAGAGCTAAAGTTGATCTTTCCATTTGAATCGAACATACATTGGTTGTAATCATTGTTTAACATTAACTATTCTCTCCAAGTAAATTCTTTCTTAGGTTCTTAATTTGATAATTGATGCTACAAAAAAGGTGTTATATTGTACAGTAAGTTGTCTCGTTAGTATAGCTTGGTTAAAAGTTGGCGTGTACTACAGAAATCATTGTTGACCTTAGCATACCAGGGGTTATTACTACTATAACATAAAACTGGGGTGATTATATCTTTCCTTGGCCAAAGTATATGACTTTTGACTTTTAGTGACTTAAGTAGACATTTTACCTATATAGGCCAGCTGTAGCCTATTTCTTTATCTTAAAAACTACTTAGTTTATGAGTCACTCACGGAATGCGTTACAGCCTAAAAGTCTAATTTCTGATTTAGTTTTTTTTCTAAGGTAGTTTATGTGGCCTAATAGATGTTATAGCTTACAAAGATTTGTTTTGTTTGGTAATAAGTCGGTATATAAAGGGTGGCTGGAAAATAGCTAGCACCCCCTTTCCTTTAACTTTTTTACTACTTGAGATATTTTAAATCGATGTGCAGCATCATTCTGAAATATAAGGGGCTACAATAATTTTTGTTTACCCTTGGGGTAGTAGCTCAAAATTCTCAAACATGAAGTATAGTCGAATTGCTAATCATTTTATACGCCTTGATAAAAATAAACATTTAACGAAAATATAGCTAAAATTGGACTACTTATAACATAATGACGCCTTAAAATGTTTCTTTTTAAACAGACGGAGATTACTGATAACTGAATTTATAGGTAGTTGAAGATTTTCCAGGCACTTTTTACTAACCACGCATACCATATTAACAATGATCTGAACAACAAAAGTGTTGCATTGATACAAATGTAAGGTTAATAAAATAATATTGTTTTTATTTTACCCCTAGGAGTATCTCAAAATATATCTTCCCTCAATATCCTCGAAGATTAAAACATAGCCATCATTTTATAGCCTCTCATAACTAAGAAGGTTGCTGCAAACCGATTTCAAATATCTGAAATAGTTATTAAGTTGAAGGGGGTGGGGGGGGTGAAAGTTACTTTTCAGAAACCCTGTATTACCAAAATAAGTAATACACCACAATCAATCTGTGGACAACTAACTACATCCTTTTTTACCTCAAAGTAGCCACGGAGTATTATGAGAATGGGGTGTGGACCTCTCTCCAAAGGAAAAATAACTTGCTGGATACGTCCACGCACGGACGGTCAGTCTATGTGGACGGGAAAATGCAAGTTTAACCAACCTCTATGTGAAAAGAAAATATATGACCTAAATCAAACTACTAACTAAAACGTTTAAGACTTCATATAGTTTTTGGTTTAAAGTCACCATTTTAGATCAAATTCGTTAACAATATTGTTTGTTTCATACCCACTAGTACCCCCAGACATCCTTGACTACCCAACCAGTACAGACATGGTGGTGAGGGAAGGACAAAACGTCACCTTGAGATGTGCCGCTTCCGGCTCTCCCACCCCCAATGTGACTTGGAGGCGGGAGGGTGGGGAGGGAATCCCCCTGACCACTGGCAAGGAAGGTAAGTGTCGTGCAAACTTAAAAGGATGAAGAAATATACATTTAATATTTTCATCGTTTTGTAAAAATAGAAACATCTTGCAAACTAATAGGGGTGTAATCTAAGGGGACTGTTTTTTGGGCATGGTTTAAATTACGTTTTGCGGGTCAAAACATTATAAAATGCATGTACAAATATGGAAAACTTTCAAATGAGTCAATATTTTGTATAATTTTACAAATGATGTAAGCTAACAGTTTGAGGGGATTTTCATTAGTCATCTTTGTATAGGTTCCTGCAATAAAATATGTTATATAAGTAACTTAATTATTAAAAGTGCAAAATAACTTTTTCAGGGGAACTTGCCTATAAGGACAATGTCAGACAAATATCAGTAGCTTGATGTAGCATTTAATGTCCCAACTAGTTAGTTAGAATAATTGTTGTTAATTCTACTAGTGGACAGGGTGACTCTCTGACTTACTTTATAAGTTAAGTTTTTATTAAAATGTTTAACTTATTCTCGTCTGATTTACAAATGAAAATGTCTGACAAGTGGACATCGTAGACTTTATTTATAAATAATTTGTTTCATATTTATTGGCATTTAATCTGGTTAATAATTAATTGTTATTATTATGATTGTCTCGACGTTACCAAGATGTAGAGGTAACTGTTTGCCTATGTTCTTCAAGTTAGCTTAATACTATTCATCTTTACAATAAGTTTCATGTAAATCCTATGTAAATCATTGAAGCTTTAACCCCTTTGAACATCATTGTTACAATGGTGATATGCTATTTACAATTAGGGACAAGGGAATGGATCTAAATGATTTCAGCTACTAGCATAAAAAGATATAAATCATAACACACTCTCAGTTAACAACTTCTTATCAATTTTAATTTTTCGAAGTAACTTGAGATTTCTTTCCAGAATGGTAACAAAAGTTAAAGATTAGAAGCCATCAGGAATTTTGAGTTAGGATTCTTGATAATCCCACTAAAACAATATGTTGTTTTTCGACGGTCGACAAACAAGTTTATTGGATAAACACCAAAGCAATACAATGTTAAAATATAATAACAACATTTATATTTGTTTTAAATATTAATACTTATATATTTAAGGATTCATGAAGGTGACCTAGAAAATGCAGACAAGCAAAAATGTTTGCATTCCTAAACAGAACAATCTTGGCTAAAACCTTATCAACAAATGCATAGCTACAAGGCACAAGGACGTCATTTATAGACAAACGTTGCTGCAGATAACTATAACAAAAAGGATAAAGATTCTTAAACAGTTTTATCTTTTAGATACACATTATGTCGAGAAAATTTTTAATTAAAATCTGCCATAAATCCTAATCTTAAACAGATATTAATTAGTTTCACGAGATAGTTTATAGTTAGAAAAGAACCATCTACAGATATCCATAAAACTACGGTGAATACAAATTACTTGAAAAGGAAATCACAATGCATAAATATATTAATTAGGGTAATTATAAGGAAAAAAGCAGCACAATATTAAAGATAAGGAAAATTGAAAACACCTTGCATCAACCTTTGTGTAATCGTATTTTTTTTATTTCACGATTCTGAATCAACCACTTGACGGATTTTCATGATTAATGTGTTGAAAGAAAGATCATTTTGAGAACCAGGGAATGTTGAAGCCACAATTTTAGTTTAGGGTTTCAGTTTTTATAAAAATAAGTTATAAATTTTTAAAACCTAGCAGCCGACGCTAACATTCTACTCTTGCTTTTGGTATAATACCATTTGCTTAACGTAACAGCTGTACATTCAGCGTTTTCAACACAAATTCAGCTTTTGGATGAAAATAAAATGACATACGTAGAATTGACTTATTTATACTATGTGTAATGATATAATCATTGATACCTTCATTTATTCCGTAAGAGGATGAGAGTACATTTAAATATACATAATAAATCCTAGATGTTCAAATTTATTTTTTTAAGCAGTATTTATATAAACCAACTAAATATTTAGTTCGTTTTAGTAAAATATAATTTGTCATAACTAACAGCTGGTTGAATAAAAAATATTTGATAGAACTATGAGGTTAGTTTATTTGCTTTGGAATTTTGTCACTGATTATAGGAAATATGTAAGATTATATCATTGATTCTTCGAATTCTACAGATTCTTCGTATTGCTGTATACGAATAGAAGCTAACGAAAGAAAGCTTATGAAAATTATTTTACCACTCGACTTTTTTAGAAAAGGTTGGGAAAATAACAATGATCACATGTTTTAATTGATCTTGGCAGCGTTTTCTTTACTATGCATTTTTAACTGCTTAAACTATGCTTGAGTTAGTAATAGACACATTATATACAGTTTTAATGGACTACTCGATTCCCGTACGAAGGACGGGCTAACAGTTCGTACTAATAAAAATAAAATCAATACAACAAGTAATCAATAAAAAGTAAACACAATCAAATCCAATTTAGTGGGGTCGTATAGCTGCATATGATGGCAGAATATTTCAGTTCTGGCAGAGAGGCTGCAATTTTAGGTGGTTATAGTATACATGTTTCTGAACCTAAAACCGCCCAGACCCCAATTTTTAAGGACCTCGGTCGTCCGTAATGACGTCATAAAAATGGCGGCCGTAAGAGGATGCTGGGTCCGGGGTAAGAGGATGAATTGGCTATAATGACCGAATGCCTTAACCGATTTTCATGAAATTTGGCACACAAGTGCTTGAATACATTATCTCGCCCTGGGTTGAAAATGGTCAAGTTTATTCAAGTCATTTCAAAATGGTGGCTGTTCAAATAAAAAAAAATATGAGGAAAATAATTGTGAATTGTTTTATACAGGGTGAGTTTTAAATGAGTTCCCCCCTACTTTTTTATACATTTCTTAAGATATCAACTCCGAACCAGGTCAGATAATTGTAGAGTAGCAAGTACTTCATTTTGACTGGGTTTTATTTTATCCGTTTTTTGTTATCAAGCTTTCTTGATAAAATATAACAATTATTTTGATTTTAAATGTCAATATTTCAAAAACCAAATATGACAATGGAAAACGGATTGCGGCATTGAATTCAACATAAAAAAGTAGTTCACAATGATGGGTCACAACACCACCTTCATATTTAAAATAATTTATCACACTTCAAAATGGCGGATCTAAGATGGTGGCTGAAAAAATACATCCGTCATAACTGAGTGAAAATAGGTCAACAATGAATGGTGGTGTCCACTTATCTTTATCTAGCAGTATTTTGAGATTATGGCCTTAGTTTGTAAATGCACAATGTTATAATGGACTAAAAATAAAGTTCTATAAAGTTCTCATAACTTTAGAATGGACCAACATTTTTTTAAACGGATTGCAGCATCGTATTCAGCGTAAAAGTCTTGTTTGAAACGGTGGGTCACAACCCTACCTTTACATTTAAAAAAATAACTTTTTATCCAAAATGGCGGATCCAAGATGGCGGCCAAAAATTTAAACCCAGTCATAATGAAGTACTTGCTACACTAGAATGATCTGACATGGTTTAAAGTTGATATCTTAAAAAATGTATAAAAAAGGTAGGGGGGAACTCATTTAAAACTCAGCCTGTATAAAACAATTCACAATTATTTTCCTTATTTTTTTTTTAGTTTTGAACAGCCACCATTTTGAATGACTTGATGAAACTTGACCCTTTTCAAACCAGGCCAAGATAATGTATTCAAGCACTTGTGTGCCAAATTTCATGAAAATCGGTTCAGGCATTCGGTCGTTATAGCCAATTCATGGGGAACCAGCATCCTCTTACGGCCGCCATTTTGATGACGTCATTACGGACGACCGAGGTCCTTAAAAATTGGGGTCTGGGCGGTTTTAGGTTCAGAAACTTGTATACTATAACCACCTAAAATTGCAGCCTCTCTGCCAGAACTGAAATATTTTCCTGCTACCCAACCTGACTAATTAAATCAATCTCATTGTTAGTTATTGTTCCCGAAAATTGCGAAAAATTCCATAAATCTATATAATCAAAATATTCAAAGAGGACATCGTAGTTACGCAAATACCTTATTCTGTTGTACTCCTGCAATAGACTTTAATTACTATAAATCAACTGTTATAAATATAGTTCACGTTGTCTACTGATATCAAGTGGAGACCATAACAAGTTGCAAATCTCTTTCGTTTAGCATTTCTATTAACCCTTTGTTGATCAGATATGCTAAACATTGCTAAAGCAGAATTTACAAATTACCATTATAAATATTCATTCTAACTCAGTCACTATCTTTTTCAGTTTCAACGATAGAAGGGTCTACATTTAACATAACCAGAGTCAACAGACTACACATGGGCGCCTACCTCTGCATCGCGTCTAACGGAGTCCCTCCTTCAGTCAGCAAGAGGATTATGCTTATAGTACATTGTAAGAAAATGTGCATATTTATTAAGAGTAGGATAATCAACTACTAACAAATCAGCTAAATCTGTAAAACAAAGTAAAGCCATTATAGTGTTATTTAAATCAGTTTTTGGTAATTAGATCATTTGCTGGGTAAAATTTTTTTTTAACTTCAAGAGATAGGATGTTTGATTTTTTACTTTCAATCTGAGTTTTGATTGTTAACTTTTGTTTCAATAGGTATTTTTTTCTTCGTCCAAAGACAGTGGAAAGTTTTTCGTGCCACTTGCTTTAACATGTGTTTCCTAGGTGTGTTTTATAATGACTGTGTTTTAGCAAATTTCCCATATACGGAATAAGCTATTACCGTAGGTCTCATGGTGGGACATAGACCCGGGACCGATTTACTTTTTTCGATTTGAGGTCCTCAGAGGCCAACAACACCATCCGTTCAAATTCATATATCCGTATATTCATATCCGTTCATATTCAAAATTGTGTGTCCGTTTGCGCAAAAACTCGAGCAAAAATGATCAGATTTTGGTGAAATTTGGTACAAACGTGTAAACCTACATTTAAACGAGTTCGCAATCCAGCATAATCGGACTATGTGAACGGGGGTTTATGGGGTAAACATTTATTTTTCACACTTTTTGTCCCTAAAACACATTTTCTCTCCAAAAAACTTTTTGAGCTTAAAAAACGAAATTATTTTGTATATTTAAGCGTTGTTGCGTTGTTTATTTTTTCTTGTTGATAATCATATTTCGTTTTAGGTATATATGCAATATGAAAGAGGTAAATAAAGAAAAACTATTACAATATGCAATTGCCCATCGATAATGAACACTACAGGTTGTTAGGGAAGATAAATTAACTGGTAATTGATATAAGAACCCAAGGATATGCGGTTATTGTGCACAACACTATTTACAATACAAAATAACAGGTATTGTAGTTACTAAAAAACAAGGTAGGTTACGGAGATACAAACATTTTTAATTTAAAATTCCCATGTTCTCATGGATAATCAATAAACTGTTGTAGTTTGTTTGTTTATGGATTTATTTTATTCACATTTGGCAATTTTGTTTATTTCATACTAAGCTATCATCATTTCAATAAAAAAAAACACACCTCAATATCTTCCCCGTGGCAGCAAACCTAAGTACTCACGAAAATTAATTTTATTTAAAAGTAGGAAATAAATTTAACAACTTTAAGAGAATATTTTAGTAGAAATCCAGCCAGGTAAATGGAAATTCGCTTAGTCTGCAGGCTTGCTGCGGTGGGGGTGTTTTTATTAACTGTGCAATTAATTTCACAACTATTTAATTTTACACACTGAACGGAATTATTTGAAAAGGCTCGAGTTACCTGACCCTATATACATATATATATATAAGCATCCATGGGGTCTATTTACAAAAAGTATTTATTGCAAATTTTGTTTACCAAACAAAACCAAAAGTGAAATTTTGTAAAATTTATTTTATAACGCAACATTCAATGGCCCCTAAGTTATAATGGGTAGGTCAAATCAGGATTGGTGTAGTTGCCTTGGTAGCTCTATTACTGGGTTGTTTAGAAACTAAACATTGTCGTTTACATGTTTGCTTATAGTCATGGGTAACACACCTAGGTACACACATATAATTTAGCTTCCTGTTCACTGTTATTATGGTCTATAACAAGAGTTCCAAAGCTTAACATGTTAAATAGAATAGGTAGATAGGTAAATATAACGTTTTATTTATTATGGAAGGATAGTTTTATAATTTCATAATTCGAATGGTAATAAAAAAGTATCCTATAAAGCTATTTACACGGATGCCAGAGTAGTTAAAAAGGGTGTAATATTACTTTACGTTTTTATGCTATTATTTTGTTTGTAATATTTTTATTTTCTTGTTATTCAGTCCCACCAATGATCACTATCCAGAACCAGTTGGTGGGGGCCATGTTGGGTCAATCCATGACTTTAGAGTGCCATTCTGAAGCCTACCCGAAGTCCATCAACTATTGGACCAGAGATAAGGGGGATATAATAGCTCACGGTAAGTTGTCACTCTATACATGAAAATATATTAATTATAATTCATCACGTATTATGCCAAAGCCTAAGCATGCTTTGATTCACTAGAACATCACATGTGTAAATGAGTAGTGTCATCATCATTATTAATATGATTAAAATTATATATATTATGCAAATGCTTGACATTCCAAAAAAAATCAGTCGATAAGTAACTTCGCAGTAATATACAATGATATAAACTATAACTACAACTGAAATATGTTACAATAATAATGTTAACAATACAATAATAATGTTACAATAATAATGTTTCAATAATAATGTTACAAATGATAGTTTAAGTAGTTGAAAAGCTACCTCACTTAAAGCGGTAACGCTTTAAATGGTTTTAAACCAAAACCAAACTCAGATGACATTGGCAATTGGCTTTTATTATAAGACCGTTTCATAAAATAATCATCCTGATTATTGAAGCTTCTGATATAGTCGGTAACAAAGGTTCCCTCCGTTATTTAAATACCTGTTGTTCATATTCAGCTTGAAATAAGTACACTACAGACGACGCTGTCCTAATCAAAGTATAAGTTGTTAAAATAAAGATTGTAAATGTGTACATTTGGTGATATAATTTAGTCGTCAATTGTATCATACAATGTATAAAAGCCATAATTCGTTCATATGCTATACTTACTCAATGTTTTTTCAAGTTCAATTTTGTTTTATTATTGCATTAGTAATGTAGTGTCGTTGTAAATTATGCCATCTTGTAATTGCTTATATGCTAACTACTATTGTATAAATGTTGTTACCGTGTATAAATTAATAAATATGTTCACACAAATACTCATAGTCCAAAATAATCTATTTTGATAATTTAATTTTTACCTTATTAAATTACAGGTCCCAAGTATGAGCCGACCCTAGTTGACAACGCCTACAAGGTGTTGATGAAGCTTACCATCAAATCAGTGACTCAGCAGGACTACGGGGCCTACAAATGTGTGTCGAAGAACTCTCTGGGGGAGACTGACGGCAGCATCAAACTTTACCGTTAGTGTTTACAATTTATTTTATTCATTGATTGATTTAGGTTCCTAAGATAATTGAATATAATAAAAAATGGAAAGAAGAAGATTCGGAATTTGGTCTTGCCAGATTAAATACCTTCACCGCGTCAAACGTTAGTTAAATTTTGTTTTATTTAAATAACAATTTTTTAACTCTATACTTTCCTTATTTTTTATTTAAAATTTATTTTTTCAATATTCGTAATTTAAACGTTAAATTTGTTTTTCTTTGGAAATTTCACGCTGAATCGCTATATACTAAATTAATCGCTATATAACTATACAATGAAAACAGTTTATAGCTGCATGAATGTTTACCAAAGGGTAGAACAAAGAAAACATTGTAATTTGTAAAAAATTCGTGATTTTTTAAGTAACATGTATATCGACACAACGAGAAAAGCCTCAACGGAACATGATTAGTTATGTTGTTTTGCGAATGTTGTATTTTTTTACTAAAGAGTATATAAAACTATTTGTGGGTCCTACCGAATGTTACATACAACATATATGTACGTAGACGTTTCTACTATATTGTAACATCTATGATATAAAAGTATTTTAATTCATTGATAAAAACATAAAAATGTGGTATGTAAACAATGTATGCCTATGTAAAATAAAATAAAAGGGTTCATAACAAAAAAGGAAGTAAATTCAGTTTTTAAATCTAGTGATATCTTATAGGTTACAATAGTTTTTTTTTTATCTACGTAACTATTAAAAGTAGCCGAGCACAACAAAACAAATAGACAATTTTACCAATTATTCAAAAGTTACCTTAATTGCCAGTGCATTTTCGACAATTAACCTTATTTGATTCAGTATGATTATTTGTAGTTAATAATTAGATTTATCCATTACTGCTTTTTGTAATTATCTCATTAATCAAGTTTTTAATTTATGTTTTCTTGCAGAAATTCCCACCCCAACAACGATTGCAACTACCCCAACGACTACTCAAATACCGATTACAGAAGCTCAAGGTAAATACATTGAGTTTCTTTTTAATTCGTTTTTGTTTAATTATCACATAGTAAAAATTGTTTTCTATACCTATAATATTTTTTTATTTTAAGAACACCGTACCTGAAAATTCTTTAATACGTTTTTTTGACCAGTAAACCTTCTTCTATTAATTATGATATTTTAAATTATACATGATTTTATCTTTTAAAAATAAATATTTTACCATTTCGTTTGATTTGAATTATATTAGAATAATTTTTTTAATTAGTTGTGGACGGTTAGTATCTACAAGACTAGTAAGCCACTTTTTCTTTGATCACAATTAGAGTAGACGAGGAACCATGAGAGCCAATATAGAGTAAGAAGGGAAATAAGACTTTTTTAGTAACTACAATACCTGTAATTTTGTACTGTAAATAGTGTTGTGCACAATAACCACATATCCTTGGGTTCTTATATCAATTACCAGTTAATTTATCTTCCCTAACAACCTGTAGTGTTCATTATCGATGGGCAATTGCATATTGTAATAGTTTTTCTTTATTTACCTCTTTCATATTGCATATATACCTAAAACGAAATATGATTATCAACAAGAAAAAAACATGAGAAATTACCATAAACAACTATGCTTGGCACTATACGACATTACTAAACAGTTAACCTTCATGTTTATAAATTATTTCAAATTAAAATATTGCTACTTTAGACAAATGGGTACCTAATAATACAAATTGTTGTATCCGTGATAAATTTCTTGATAACACCAATTACCAGATAGTCTAGTACAAATTTCTTTCGATTTAAATTTAAGGTTGATTAAAAAATCTATAATATATCAACAGATGTCAGAAGTTTTTGTTAATTCAATCAAGATTTAATAATACAAAAAAATCCTCATTGTTAACTAAACCATTCATAATAATACTTAAAATTTCATATTTAAACATCCCAGAAGGAATATTAACTTACAAAACTAGTTTTAAAATAATATTTATGAGTAGGTACCTTTTTAATGTGTAACTAACTAAAAAGCTATAGTAAGATAATGTTAAATTTCTATTGATTAAACTTAAATTCTAGTTAAATACAGTACAGATATATTTTAACCAGTGAACATTAAAACATATATTGCTTACATAATGGACCAAAACAAATTTGACTTTAGTTGAACAATTGAACATCGATTGAGGTTTCAATAATTTTTATTTGTAGACACCAAAACTCCCCCCAAGCCGAGAGATAAGGAGAAGGGAAGAGAAGGGGAGAAGGAGAGAAAGAGACTCAACATGAATCAAGAGAGTAACGACCTTAGAGTCATGGGCGAGAACATCAACATTAATAAAGGTACCGTTTTAAAAATCATCTATAAGTGTTCTTCCTTCAAGCTACTTTATTTCCCATGCTGTTCCCTTTATATTTATACCAACAGGTGCCTTTGACCATAAAAAAGCCATATAAAATCAGAAGAATATGGTAAAACGAATTATTTATACATTTTATTAATGGCAATATTATGGTTAAATTTGTTTAATTTTAATAAAATGTTGGCTATGTATATTTTATACTATACGTAAATATGAACACTTGTATATAACATGACCTTTTTATTCTCAAAATGGAGCTATATAAATTTGTATGTTGGTGTACATTGTTGTAATATTAACCATAATAATCATGAAAACGTGAAATAAATTTACTATTTTGTTATTATATGGGAAACTCGACCATAAATGACGTTGTACCTTAATTTAAACAAATGTATCCATCCAGGCAAAGTCAACAAACAAAATGTCTAACTTTGAATTAGAGTACATGAATGTTTTACGGTGATATTTGACAGACTACATAAATATTTGCGCCCTTGTTTTAAGCGATCCAAGTGCATGGAGGTATATATCTAAAATCGTATGCAAAACATAACACTGGGTTTAAGAAGCAATCGTTTGATCAAAAGGCCATTCATTACTATTAGTTATGGTGTTGACTGAAGTGCACGGTTTATAGGCCTACTGAATTACCAAAATTTGCCTTGTTCAATACCAATATAGCATCAATATTTCATTGTTAATGATGGCATACGGTTATAGTGTATATGTGCATTAAATGTTACGAAAAATCTAATCATTCCCGTCTCCTTACAGACAAAACCAGGAAGGGTGACAGGGACAACCGGTTACTGTCAGGGGAGGCAGACCGATCACGGTTATCCAGTGATTCCCAAGGGTCCCGAGGGATTCCTCCCTGGTTTTTCCTGATTATCCAGGGATCCTGTCTCGCTAAACTGCTCTAGGCTCAGTAAACAGCTGTTTATCATCTCGTCGTTGAATTAATTTTGCTGTGTAAATGTGCATTGTTATTTGTATACGATAAAGAAAGACTTTGCCATAATTTATTATTTAAATATGTTTCAAACCATTTGTGAGAAAATATTATGAATTTTATCTAGGTACCAAAACCATATGCAGTAGGTTACCTTACAAATTATTATAATATTGTAAACTAATAATGTGATATATTATCTTACAAAAATATAATTGGCCATATTTTATAACCTAAAATGAAATTCAATTGAGTAGGATTATTAGCTAGGCCCTACCTTAAGATTGAATAGATATATTTTATTATGAAATAATTCAGGACTGTTTAACTTTGAAATTAAGAAATAAATAATAAAATAGATTAGTATGATTATGCAGTTGAAAAAAGGTTCCAATTTTCGAAAAAGTGACATTTAATTCTAAATGTGAGTTATTATCTGTTCGAATTACTATGTGGAAACATTAGTGATATTAAATGTTATGTATTTAAAAAAAAATATCTAAATACTGTAGGATATAACCCATTTTTTCACTGATTCATTTTGCACTTATTATATATCATGGATTGACTAACATAATTGATTATACTTATTAACTAACCTTATTGATTATAGCTCAAAGTGAAGTGAAAAATTTATATTTTGGGCAACACCTATTTCAGAGAGGGGAATAATTGGATTAGTTTTTGGAATTTGTAATAAATCCAAAGCAACATACCAAATTCATTTAATTTTAAGGGTTTACCCACTGGCCACTAGGTTTCAAACTGGGAATGAGAAATCAATAACACAGTAATTATTTACATTATTTGCTCACTATTTTAATTTTTGTTTGATCCCAGTAGTCTTAATAATACTTAATGCATATTTAAATAATAGTTTTCAATGCATATTCGTTATTATAATAGATGTAATAACACAACTAAGATACGCTTTACGGCCCAAAAGCTGTTACGGTAGTTTTGTAAATCACATACTGTATGTGTATATTGTACTATACTATTGTAAATAGTGCTATATTAATGATATTATTTTTATTGATAATCCGTAGAATTTAAGCATGTCTAACTGTAAAATATGTTAGATAGGTAATATTTAGCTTTTTAGTTTAATTTATTATTCCCAGACTGTTACGTTTACAAACACCATGTAATAATTGTTGTAAATAAAATATTTATATCACTATTTTTATTTTCAATAAACGATACCTCATCACCTTGGTAAAAAAAAGATTAAACATAGTACTATAGGCCTTTCCTGGAAAAATAAAGTATTGAAGTTATAGATTAAAGTAAAATCCTTGTTGTCATGATAGTTACGATGTAGAAATTAATATCAAGAAATACAGGAAGATTAATCATGTAATAAAAATTTAATTGATATAATACATATAGTGATCGTATAGTATTTATAAATAAGGAAATTTTATTTTTTACCAGAAGTGTGTGTAGCCACATTTATCCATGATAGATCTATCAAATCACCCTTCTCATCATCATCTATCCAGCTATTTAATCATTAAGTTACCAACACATATACCCTGTAAGTGGTAACATAATATTTTATATATAATCCCCTAAACTTATTTAAACTCAAAATTCACCCAAACGAACATTTAAAAAAGTGTATTGTGGTTATAGCTTTTAATAACCATACTAAGTTACAAATATATACCCTATAAAAGAAGGAAAGAGTTTTACTTGGAACTTAAAAAAAACTATTTAATTAGGTATTTTTTCTGGTTAAGTGTTATAAACATTATTTATTATCATCTTTTACAAATAGGTTTTATGATGGTAAAATATCTGTTTTCACAAACTCATAAAAAAACCTCTATTTAAAAAATAATCAGATTACAAAAATCTTAGATGAAGATAATTAACCATAACCTGATTTCGAAGGTTTAATCCAAATCAAATGGTTTTATTGGTCTAGAACGGTGAAATCGTCTGCTCCAGTTCAAAAGTCCAGGTCACGTAAGTAATCAGCTGAGGCGGAAAACCACTGCAATGACTCAGTGAGTCATTAAACCAACACCTTCATCGCCAGCACAGTTGTCTTAACTAGCATTACACACCGTGGAACTAATCTGTGACCTCTCTGTAGACATGGTTTTATCTTGGTGTCCCTGACTTAAATTCAAATCCATTATATTAGTAATTCCCGATCATCCCAAACCCAATCTATTTTACACTATAATAACTATCGTTAATTATGGGTATGGTTAGTAATTAATCGTTAAATATTTCTAAAGAAATTGGTGAAACTTGTTTATTGGTATAATCTTTGTAGATACATGGAGAGGCAAACATTGTCCTACATTTTCTGACAAATATTTTTTTTAAATGCATTGGAAAAAATTATCTGTCTTAAAAGTAAAAAGTTACATGGTATGTACTTTGTTATTGAGTACAATTTAAATACAATCATACCGAAAATATCAGTATTTGTTAATGCTAATCAAGATAGTAAGTTAAGTTAAATGTTTTGAAAATTTTCCTCACGCAAATTTATAGATTCACCGGGTTTTTTAGTATGTAATTCTAGAATACAACAGAAACTAATTTATTAGTACTTTGACAATACAGCCCTTCAATATTCATTCGTTTGTTAAAAATGTAAATTTTCTTACAACTATTTGTCAGGTTTAAAGTTTATTTAAGAATTTTCATATCTTTCTAATGTCATAACTAAATCCAAGATGAAGCGTTACATTACATTGATAATCAAGTTGGGCTTTGTTTAACTAATTAGATTTTTACCTTTGTCCTTTTTAGGTAATGGCAAACAATTTTATAAAATATGCAATTTACCTTTCAAGAAAAGCACCTGTTGTTTTTACTAGTACAAATGGAATAAAACAACTACAAACTTCAAATAATAGAGTTAAATATTAGTCCCTGGAAATATTTACAACGATCAAATTGGAAGAAAAAAACCATATTATAAAAGTTTACCTATAAATTTGAGGCCCTAAATAATATGTGACAGTTTAATTACATTAACAAAAAAAATCCTTTAAAAAATCTTTTGATTTTAATTTTTACCATTTTTCATCCTCACACGAATGAAAAAATCCAAACATACTAAGTCCACAAACAAGGGTAAACGAAGCAGAGTTTATATAATCGTAATTTTACCTAGTAACCCAATAAAACAGTGTATTTTTATTTTCTAAAAGATAAACAAATCTCTTTACTGTACTAAAAACTGAAACAACCACCCTATTTTAATTTTGTTTCACAAATATTCATAAAAGACATAGAAAATTTCTGGAACGTCGGTTACATTTCACTAAAATGGAACAGTGGACCAGGATTATTTGAATGTAGGGCACAAATATTTCACCAAGGGTATCGCACCATTTCGAATCCTTTATCAATAACGGATGCTTGCCAAGGGTTTATTCCATTTATATGGAAACTTTATTTCCAGATTTTGCGGAAAGCTATCTCATTTTAAGACAAAAACGGTAAATTTTGGAAGTAGGGATGCCAGAAGTAGGGATAATATAAAACAACTATATTAAGGAAAAACTTAAATAATCAGACGTGGTTCAAATATTTTTTTTAAAGTTCAACTGGGTAGACAGTTAAAAATAGGCTGTTTTTTTAAAAACAAATAATACGATTAGGTATTAATCACGTGAATAATATAAGTTCCTACTAGGTAATAAAAGTGTTATTTTAACAGCAAAAGAAAATTGTATAAAAGGTTTTCACTGGTTTCAGTTTTGCATAACAGCATGTATGATAAATCAGAATAATAGAAAAATATGTACAGTATATTACGTGTTAAAAATACTGACAGAAAACAAGTAAGTATTCCAAATTGTATTCTAAGTTAACTAAGCAAAAAAAGAAACAAAACAAAACAAAGCAACAAAACTTTTAAATTGATTCTAGTTTAAACATATTTGAAAGCTGTTGGTCGGCCTACCCAATATAGTTTTGAAAACAAGAGAAGAAAATTATTGTTCTTGAAAATATAATTTTACTATTGTTGAAGTGTCTTGCACATATAACTATCTGCATTGTGAAAGAAAATGATAGCTGTGCTACTATTAGTTTCTGATAAACAAGTTGGACCTAAGTACCAATAGTAATATAAACGTTATAAACAAAAAAATACTTTCGAAAAATACATATTCATTTTGTATTAATTTAAGTACTCAGATAAATACTCCTTTTTTATACTAATGTATTTAAATAATTAAATAGTATATCAAACACTATCAAATTTTACCAATGAACAAACATATACAATTTACTGTGAATGAAAAACAAACTAACATTAAACGCTATAACTATGTAGAAATTAGTTTGATTTATGTCAATTTTTCTCATAATATGATATTTCGTATAAAGCAAGTGTACCATTATGTAAGCATGACGATCGGATGGGTACACAGAAAGCAGCTGGGGAAGTATAAGCATTGTTTGTTTAGCTCACTGCTTCAAGCGTTGGCGCAGCAAATATACCCGACCTGGTGAAAGATACATGAGTCATCAAATAAAGCTCTCCTAGTTCACTGTAGTAAATACGATTTGAAAATGTAACATTGAGTTAAGCAATATTTTCATATATTTTCCAAAGTAGATTAACTGGATGTGTTAATTTTAATTATTTGAACCCTTCAAATTAAATACTCAAATAATTAACAGAATACATAAACAGATTACTAAAATAATTAAATGCAATTAAATGTTATATGTTTCGGTCTGCCTGACGAGGATATAAGTTGTGCCTACCAATACATTTTATAACCTTTTACTTCAACAAGTAGACCTCCCATCCATATGATTCGGCTTTAGGATGTTTTTTTGTATATCCTAGCCCAATGAGCCGTTCCTAGAGTGATCCCACATTGATGTATTATTACGATTATGTATTATATTCACATAAAGATATTTGATGAAAGAGATAGATGAATCATGATACGTTTCAGATCTGATACTCAGTCTTGAATATAAAAAAACCCTTTTTCTATATGCAAAACAATCTATGTTTCGCTGCAGAAAATTGGTGAATATATTTAACTAAGTTTTTTTTACTAGCTGAAACTGTAACAAGAACTATTGGAATAACATATTTAATGTAATTGCTAATCTACTTATAATGCTTAAGCTGTTATTATATATTTTTA